TTGGTCTCACAAGTGCAGTTCTGCTAGGACACCTTTCCAGGAGTGCTCCAGCTCACTGGAGGCAGAAATTCTAGCACAGCGGGTTTGCTGAAGATACAGTGCCAAAATAATTGATGATGTAAAAGGGCAACATTCCTTCGCTGCTGTTGTTGAATTGTGCTAGCAATAAAATCGGACTGAGCAAGTTAACTAGCCTTGTAAGTGATGTAAAGTTAGCTCTAACCTTGTGTCCTGCACTAGGAATATCCTTCAGTCTCCGGAAGCCTTGATCACATGTTTATATTGTTGTTGATAGCAGCTTCAGTCTAGACCAGTTTATATAAATTAGTGGCTTTATCTGATTTTGCGGTGGTCAGAATCATAACTCTTCTTGTGTTACGGTGCAAGCCAGGCTTTGGCCCTGCAGCCAGGACTGGGCTTTGGGCACCAAGCCAGTGCCGGTCTCTGTGAGCCTTACCTTAGTCCAACAGCAGCAAAACCCTTCCCTGAGTCCCCTCCGAGCTCACCTCGGGGCAGGGCTCATTAGCAGATTAAATCCTGTGTTAAACGAGTCCTCAGGGAGCAGAGGATGCAGTGCCTGCCCCTCCAGCTGAAAGGATTTTCCTAAGGTCAGATAAGGAGTTCTGCGACTCCGATCAACAGATAAGGTTTGTTTTGCAAAAATCCGTGAATAAATCCTGGGGAAATCTGCACCAAGTGTGATGTCACAACCCTTTCCTACTCTGAAGTTCATCAAGGGGAGGAGGGTGTATAAATCTCGGTCAGTATAAATCTCCTGTTCCCTGTGTCCAGTGGCGGATCCTGCCCCGCTGCAGGGATTCTGGAGTGTCAGGGATGGCTTTCCCTTTCCACCTTCCTCCCTGCTGCTGCCAGCCCGGGGTCACGCCGAGGTAAGCGTGGGCAGGAAGCCTTGGAGCAGGATTATCCACCTCCCCGGGCTCCTGCCCTCGCCAATTTTCTGGTCAGTAACTCTATGAAAGGAGAGCGTGTCTGGTGCAGCAGGGACAGGCAGGCAGGGGAGGATAGCGAGAGATGAAGTGGGGGAAGAAAGAAGGGCTGGATTCTTTCCAGGATGGAAATCTGTCTGTCCGAGAATTTATCCAAAATGCAAATTGAATATTCCTCTGTCCACCAGTAAGTTACGGTGAACTGTAACAGTTACGGTGACTGTGCAGCATCCTGACAGGCTGGGAAATCATCAGTATCCCTGCTTATTCCTTGGCATTTTCCTCTGTCCAGACAGGAACTTCTGTGTCTGTGGGAGTCATTCTCAGCTTCCATTTGGGACACACTTATTGCTAATTTAGATTTACACTTAGAAAGGAAAGAGGAGGCAGACCAGACTCTGAACCCCATGTCTACATTTGAAAAATTGTGCTTCCTAATAAAATGGACCATTTCCAAAATCACAGGTCTGGACTCCTCAGGAATGCAGAGCCCTCGAATCCCAGCTGGGGCAGGATAAAGTGATGCCTTTCTTGATGTTTGCTGAGCAGATAATAATAGTCCTGTATCCCAAGGGTTGCATCCCAAGGGAAGTGGGGTGTTGGGGTAGCTGGAGCTCAGGGGCAGCAGCAGACAGCCCCAGGCCCACAGGGGCTTCTCAGCTCAACAGGGAGCAGAAGGGTTTGTTCAGGAGCGTGGATGATCATCACTGATGGCACATTTTGCAGAAGAGACTGAATGCAGGAGGGCAGAGAACTGAAGACTTTGTAGAAAATCTCAGGAGGCAGAGGAGAATAAGAACCTAGACAAAACAGAAAACTGCTGTATTGTCTATGCAGAAGGACTAAACCAAACCCTCCCTAAAGATGTTCAGGAGCAACAGAAGCCTCGACTGTGAGACAAATGCAGCAACTCCAGACTTGTCTCGCTGTAAGATCTGATGTCCTGGGAGGCTGGGGGGAAGCCTGTGCCAATTGAGTCTGGCCAGATGTAAGAGAGAAATTGAAAGTCTCATATGATCTCATAGGAGCAGTCAAGCTTGAATTTGGACCAAAAGCACTTTTTATTGAGTTCTGAGTTTTATCCATCTGTAAAAAGTAGCAGAAATGACGGCAGGAGCCCTCACTTCCCACCGGGTCAGCAGGGACCTCTCACAAAAGAATGGGCTTTTATTTACTGCCTTTCTCTTAGACAGGCTAAAGCCTTCACCTGAGTGTGGACAGTATCAAAGACACAAAAACTTCTCATGGAAAGAAGTCAGTGCTGAAATTAATGTTGTCAGCAGGATAAGCAGCAAATTCTGTCTTCCCCAGGTGGCCCAGATTTTAACGGGGTCACCTTGCAAGACTTGCCTGTAGGATATTAAAGGTCCCAACGAAACAGTTGGGGCATAAAAAAATATTATATCCAAGAGTTGCATCACAGACAGATGTTCCTTTGACAGGTCATCCTTTGCTTAACTATTCTTCCATGTATATTTCCTGACATTCAATGCATCAGTGGCAGCTCCTGGGAATAGGAGGCTGTATGGATGTTTGAAACAGATTGAAGAGTGAGGGATCTACTTTTTTATTTAGCAATAGCAGTGTGAAGCACTGGAATATTAGATATGTGAGGGCAGTTTCCTGCCTTACACTCTCCTTGTCTGACACCTTATTTCTCTTTCTCTCCTCTTCCTGCCCTACCTTCCATCACTCTTCAACAAGTCATTTAATTTGTTAGTGTGTGCATTGACTAATCCAGCCCTGCAAAGAGGATGAAGTTCACCCGGATGCAAAACTCCGTGGGCATCAAACTCGATGTTTGCAGTTGACATCTTGTGGTGGTTTTTTTTTTCCTCCCCTTTCCACAGAGGTTTTTCCTCTCCTTTCCATGTGGGTTGTGAAAGGGAGAGCAAGTGGGCATGTGCACGCAGCTGAACAGTATTTTGTAAATACTTCCTGAGAGCTTGTGAAATTTCTCACATGTTCTTGATTTCCCTTCAAGTCTGCTGTGTACACATGAAAAATATTCCTCGGTCTAGCCCTGGGATCAGAAGTGAGTAAATAGCCATCAGTTTTACAAGCTTTGAGGAGATGCCAAGCCCTGATGGCCAAGGGTGATACACTGAGACTTTGGAAGCCAGGCCAGCATACAAGCTGCAATTTCAGCCATATGCTTTCTTACAGTCTTTAAGTGTGATCACAGCTTTTTCCTTGAAAATTACTTCCCCTGAGATAAGATTTCCCATGAAATGGCTCTGGCATATTTATACACGCTCTGAAGTTTCTGGTTAACCAGATTGGTTAGTGCTCTGGAGAATTTGAGGATGTAAATCTTATCAGTCTGGGTATGTTTGTGTTCACAGATGTGCCAGTGACATGAAAATGGGATTAATTGTAAATGTAACTCATTTGAGAAATGGTTGGGGATTTGGGTACTTCTGCATTTTAGCCTTGCTTGGGCACACTGAAGAGCTCTTTGACCCTGCCAGAGATTAGTTTTAGTACCAGTTATGAGATAAGCTTAACTAGTCTTTAAAAATAAGCATGTTAAAGCTCCCTGCCAGAGATTTGTTTTGGGGTAAGAATACTGCACACATAATTTTTTTTTATGTTTATCTTGCTGTTATTAAGTTAATTGCAGGGATTGAGCTATAAGCAGTGATGCAATTCAGACCTTTTTCTTTCTGTTCTTTCAACTTTGAGAAAACTCAAAGATTCTTTAATATTTGAAGTTTAAGTGTGGTTATCTTTAACCATTAAAAAATCAATATACTGGTCAGATTGATACAGACTCAATACACAGTAGTGTGAGAGGGAACTATAGTCCTGGATCACACATGCTTGGAAATAGCACCATAATTTTGCATTTTCAGTTTCTTCTTTCTCTTTTGGATCTTGCTCTTAGAGTCACAGAGCAGTCAGCTGATTGCAGTAACATGCTCCATTCAGTAATTTATTTTTTGCAGAAAAAAATGACAGTGACTCACCATTTATAACATGATGAGTGCTGAGAAGACTTAGTTGAAGAGCAAAAACGATAGATCAATTCATTCATAGATGTCTTAGGTAACAGGTGAAATTATATTCCTTCCAGTAGCCTTAAAAGAAATAGAAAATAAGTTTCTGTACTCAGAAAAAAATATTGTGCTTAAATCTGTTTAGCTGCAGATTAATGTTTGAAGAACAGTGGTGGAAGCTCCATCTCAAACTTGATGCTTTTGCCTCACTAGAAAGAATTGTACTGGACAAAGCCCCACGATGAAAGTTAATGAACTTGGTGACTTTTCAATTTATTTCCATTTCTGACCTCATTGATGGTGTGGAAATGCAGATAGGGTTGGCTGCTTACATCTCATTGTGAATCAAATCCATGCTCCATTATTTGAATGTTTGTTCCATGAATATTCAGAATTTTCTTTGTCCAAATAGCAGTGGTTAAATTTTACTGTGTTAAAAGAGAGTGGCAAGTGAAATCCTGCATGTAGGAGCTACAAAATAAATTAATGCTTGAAATTTCTCACTTTAGAAGTCTGTGGTAGGATTTACACTTGTTTGAAATGCACCTGAGACATCAGCCTGCAATCAGCATTGCAAGTAATTACCAGGCTGAAAAAATACATTTTACTGCAGAGCAGATTTTACCTCCAAACGTAAAATAAGAGGTAGGGAGCACACCAGAAAGATCATTCAGAAAGATCAGTGGTTTTAGGATAAATTTGTCATTCTGTACATGTGTATAGCAAAGACAGGGAGAGATTTGAAATGACATGATACAGAAAAATTTCCAAACATTCCATATACCAGTCAGGCTTAACATCTGATTTTTTTGTTTCAGCTTGTGCTGCTTGTAAAGAATCTGTAAAGAGAGGATCAGCAGTGGGACACAGGTCCCACTTGATACTCCCCATGTAAAAGAAACTCACTGCTTGTCTTAAATGAAGCGAAACAACAGCCCTGGCAGTGAAAACACATCAAAGATTTCCATCCAACTGTTGAAGTCAGACGCATGTTTGAATTATTTTAGATATGAAACAGAAGCAATTCAACTCTAACAAAAGTCTCTTGCTGCAGATCATCCTGTGGGGTCGGACTGAGAAATGCCTGAAGGAGACCACGGAGGAGATCAGGATGATGGGGACAGAGTGCCACTACTTCATCTGTGATGTGGGAAACCGCGAGGAAGTCTATCGGCAAGCCAAGGCCGTGCGGGAAAAGGTCTGGGAGAACACTGGTTGTGAAGGGGCTGAGGGAGCTGGGAAAGCTCAGCCTGGAGAAGAGGAGGCTCAGAGGGGACCTTCTGGCTCTGCACAACTCCCTGCCAGGAGGGGACAGCCGGGGAGGGGGGGGTCGGGCTCTGCTCCCAGGGAACAGGGACAGGAGGAGAGGGAACAGCTCAAGTTGCACCAGGGGAGGTTTAGATTGGATTTTAGTGAGAACATTTTCATGGAAAGGGTTGTAAAGCATCAGAACAGGCTGCCCAGGGCAGTAGTGGAGGAGCATCCCTGCAAGTGTTCAAAAGCCATGTGGGTGTGGCTCCTGGGGACACGGATCAGTGCTGAGCACAGTGGTGGAGCTGGGTTGATGGTCAGACTTGATGATCCCAAAGGTCTTTTCCAACCTTAACGATTCTGTGATTCTGTGATTGAGTATTTGATGAGAAAAAAATACATTGTGAAAAAAGGGTGACCATGCAGATAAGATTGTACAAAGTCCAGCTACCTATGTGTGGTGATCCAGAGGATTACAAGGCCCATAGGCAAGAATGTCAAAAGCTATAAAAATAATGATGTATTTGGGCAATAATGATTATTCAGCTCTAATGGAAATGGCTGATTTGTGAGGAGAGATATCACTTGTCACAAATAATTTGGGGTTTTTTAATTGCAGGTGGGTGACATCACCATCCTGGTGAACAATGCTGCTGTGGTCCATGGGAAGAGCCTGATGGACAGCGATGATGATGCACTGCTCAAATCCCAGCACATAAACACCCTGGGACAGTTCTGGGTGAGATAATCTCTTGTGCCCCATGTAGTCAGAGTTGGGAAGGAGACTGATGGATTACAGCCAGTAGGTCTTTCTAAGGGATGCTTGGTAAAACCAGTCTGTCTTGAAAACAAGAGAGAAAAAACAATGTCAGGAGCAAAGGCCAGAGGAAAGACATCAAAAATATTTTTTTTCAGTAGCATTCAGTAATTGATGCTCTTTATTCCCATTCTGTGATTTTCAGTAAAACATTTGATGTCTTTGTCAAAGCCTGAGCTCACAGAGGAGTTTCCTGTATGGTGATGGGAAGGGAACATCAGAAGAGTGTGGGACTACAGGGAAGGGAGCTGTGAAACTCAGTCCATTTTGAATCAGACAATAGAAATGAAAAAGAGCTTCTTGTGATTTCATCACTTAGTTGAAGACTTTATCCCATAAAAGTTCTTAAGCATAGAAGGCACTCTGTTCATGGCCTTCATCCAGGAGTACTGCTTATATAGGTGCTAGGAAGGAATTTTGTTGTGTTTCTACACAAACTTTGCCCACTTAGAATCTCAGAAAATGGCAAAGCAACAAGGTTCTTCCTCTGCCACTCCATTCCTGACATAATGAACAGGACACTTAGGCTTGTTGTGTCTGTGTCACCTTATTTTTTTCAGTCAGTGCTGGTTTTGTTGTATCACTGCTGAGTGATTTTTTCTTTTATTTTTTTTTTCTTCTTTTAACTCTCTTATTCTTCAGACCACCAAAGCATTCCTGCCAAGGATGCTGGAGCTGCAGAATGGGCACATTGTTTGCCTGAACTCTGTCCTGGCCTTGTCAGCCATCCCTGGTGCCATTGACTATTGCACCTCCAAAGCCTCATCCTTTGCTTTTATGGAGAGCCTGACCCTGGGGCTGCTGGACTGTCCTGGAGTGAATGCCACCACAGTCCTGCCCTTCCACACCAGCACAGAGATGTTCCAGGGCATGAGAATCAGGTCAGTCCAGGGGAACTAGAATAAAGCATCTCATTTTAAATGAATCATCAGAATACACTCCTAATTAATGCTTCATTTAGTTAAGAGAATTTGATGTCTCATTTGGCTGCCTGGGAACAGAGGGTCACTTTAGGCCACCTGGGACTCATCAGACTGGTTCCCTCAGTGTGCTGGGGGAGACATTGAGACTGTTTTTCCCTGCATCAGTTCAAGCCATACCAGAGAGGGAGGGGAAGCAATCTGCAATCGAGGTCATGCAAAAGGACCAGTCTGCAAATTACTTGAGAATTAACAGTACAAGTTCCTTCTTTATTCATTGGAATACTTAATCCTTTCCCACTGAAAGGACTGACAGCCACTTACTGAAGTGAGATTATCAGTACCTCCTTTTTACCTCTGCCCACAAGACCAAGTAATGGCTGTCCAAATTAATCTTTTACAATGGGTAAAATAACCTGTTAATACAGACTGTGCTATCTTAGTCAAGAAAATCTGCACTGTCAAGGTAGGCACTCCAAGGCAGGAGCTGGGAAAAGCCTTATGTTTGGCAATGGAGGAAAATATTTGTCTTTCACCTGTCAACAATTTGAATCAAGCAAAGAGGAACAGAGAGTAAAAGGAAAAATACCATCGTTGAAAAGACAGCATTTGGTATGGGTTTGCATTCAAATTAAGAAAAGCCCTGAATCAGGGCTCTGATTACTCTCTGCCACTTCTCCCTGAGGGCACCAACATGTGCATTCTTAACTGTTTAGCTAACCCAGTAGTGCTGGTTGGAACTGGGCTTTCTGCTTTTGGGCTTTTTGGCTGGAACTGGAATTTTCTGCCTCTTAGAGATACAGCATGTTTGAAGGCCAGTACCCAGCAATAACTCAGAGTAACAGGACTTGGACAGTGACACCTTAAAAAAGGAGCTTGGTTCATGTGTAATTGTTTAATTTTTTATTTTCTTCATTCAGGTTCCCTAGTCTTTTTCCTCCTCTCAAGCCAGAGACAGTGGCAAGGAGGACAGTAGAAGCTGTTCAGATGAATCAAGCCTTCCTTCTCCTTCCATGGACAATGCATGTTCTTGTTATCCTAAAAAGGTGAGTATTTCCTTTGCCCAGCAATAGCCTGACCACGTAGGGAAGGTTTGCTCTGTTTCTGTTCCCTGAGGCAAAGCTCAGGCTGACCAGAACTGCTCTTTCATCTCTTCCCTCAAAAGACAGGCATGGAAGCAAAAGGGAGACACTTTCTGAGATTCCCTTTGGAGATGTTTTCTCTTTGTATATCCCCTTAATAAACCAGTTTCGTTCCCAAAATTTACATTCCTGAGGTGTAAACTGGATTTTTGTCTAGGGAATTTAATAATAATTAACTTACACTGATAGTTGATTGGGATTTATTAAGTCACTTATTGGACTCCAGGCTTTTTATTGTGCAAGATTTCTGAACCCTGAGGCCTGGACGTCTCACCTGCATTTGCCTATATTACATCAGTGAAACTGTTCAATCAATATTTTTGTATGTGATCAGGACCAAAATTTTAATGTCTCTAAGGAAAAAAAAATCATAACTTCATATCCTGGAACAGCCAAAGAGAAAGGACATTCACGTTGTGTTTCCATGACAGTTTGCACTAAATCCTTTGGAAAAGCTGCTGCAGTCAGGAACTGAAACAAGGCAATGAGACTTCTGTGGAAAATCATTTCAGTATTGCATTTCAAAAAAGAAAAAATAATTCACAGTAAATGCTTTGCTCTGAATGTAAAATCTGGGGTAAAAGTTCCCAGATATTCTGTCACCCAGAATAAGTCTGTTCCATTGTGTTGTAAGAATTAATAGGTTATTTTTCATTACAGTAGCTGTCAGGAAATCAGGTTTCTATCCATACCTTAGGATGAGGAGGCCACATGCCTTGCACAACCAGATGCAGGTTAACCAGAAAATTCCAGTTAAATTTCTGTATATCAGAGTATAGTATTTAGAAGGAATAAAACACAATGGTATCTTCCAAGTTACAGCTTGTACAGACTTCTTTGGGCAAATATTTCTGTAGAGAAAGAGTGAGTGGATGGAACTTTCTCCCTGTAGGCCTCCTCCAGCAGGAAACTGATGCCAGTTTTGTCTGTGTCTCTGACTAGCTGATTTTTGAGCATTTGTATATTTATGTACATAAATGCATATTTACATCTCTCTCATTAGAACAGATTGAGGGCTTTGTCTCATCTGTTCATTTTCTTTCTGCTTCTACACCAGCATTCTCCCCCAGGCAGCACTTGAAGAAATCCACAAGTTTTCTGGGAGCTACACCTGCATGAACACTTTTAAAGGACGAACATAGACCTGATGGCACAAGGACTGTTCTGCAGTGAACCCAGCACAAGCATGAAAATCCTACAGGACTGTGAATCAGCAAGTCTTGGCTTTCAGCCTGTTCATGTGACTTGTGCTGCTCTGAGGCAACACATTTCTTGCAGGTCATATCCATAGTAACATGACCTTTGCACAGGATTGAGTGAGTGGACTATGGACCCTTGGAAAGAAAAACAGAAAGTGTGAAATGTTTCTATGATGTTTAATTCTTTAGAGTTCAACTGTTAAATCTACTCATAGTTTTAAGATGTGATTTTTGTTTCTTAAGTGTCTGTGGGCTGTCTCAGTGGAGAGACAGCACATCCCATCCCAAACACACTTTGTGCCCTCTCTCCAGAGGAACTGCCACTGGTTTCATTTCAGCTTTTTGAATGAGGAACTTCAAAATTACTTTAAAGAACTAAAAGATATGGACATTTAGTGGATGCTTCCTTCTCTTTCTTCACTTTCCATCCCATGATGAAGCTGTTCCCAGCACACACTGGGGAAGGAGCAAACCATGAAGCAATGTTTTCTTTGCTAAAGGCCACCCAGGACTTCTCTTTCTGGGCCCAAAAAAGCTGCTCTACTTCCCTTGTGGAGGCTGGACAGGAAGGCTCAGGCAGCAGAGCTGAGAGTTTAAATAGTGGAAGATTCTTTCTGTCACTGGACTCATGTGTGAAATAGTCATTCTGATTTTTTTGTGTTCATTTGTGATAAAATATAAATAGATTTTTAGCTTTAATCCCAGATTGCCACACATGTAGGCAGCAGCACATTGGGGATGAACTAAATCTAGAACTAAAACTAGAGCCTGCTTGTACAAACATACATTCACTGACATAATCCATGCAGAGGAAAATCCATTGTATCAATCTGCACAGTGAAGTGGAATAACACTCTAAAGGACAGTACTGTCGTGCTCATGAGGTGTGAAATCTGGGAGCACATTTAGCAAAGACCTGATGAAATGCATTTTGAATTCATCTGGCAATAAACCCATTGTGCTTTAGGGACATTGAATCAGGCACTGATCAGCCAGAAGTGGTAAATACACTTGGACTGAGGTGCCAGAAGCAGCTAGACATTATTTATTTTTGTAATGATATACTCTCTTTGACAGCCTAGGAAGGGCAACACTGCATTTCTGTGCAAAATGCAGTGAGCAGCACATTGGAGCACTACTAACAGAGGAATTAATATAATTGCAATAGAGGAAGTAGCAAGTCTAACTGGAGACACCTGCATGAAGTGCCTCAAGGATGGATGTGTGATTAAAGGAGCGAATTTAGGGCTCCTGACTTGAATTTCAAGCTTTTCCATAGATGTCCTGTGTGGCTTGGAGCAAAATGCATCATCTGAAAGAGCACCCTGACCTGCAAAGCAGATTTTTTTAGTGTTTCCCTACCTCAGAATTACAAGTCTGACTACCTAAATGTCTGTCCAAAGCTCAGCAAATTCAAATGCAACGTGTTATAGAAAGGAAAAGCAGTATTTGTTCATAGACCAAGAGGTTCTATACAAAAATTCAGATGAGGAAAAAAACCCACATGCCAAAATATATTATCTCCTAAAAGACATCTGAGGTACAGCAGAAAAGCTGTGAGCTGTGTTTAAAATACTCCTTTGGTCCTGCTATGTAGAATGGAGACCTGCTGTGAGGTACAAAGGTGTGAATGTTAAAATCAGGTCTGACCTTACTGCAGACCACTGGATTTCTCCCTTCTGGAGCTCTCCAAGAGGAAGATGCTGCCAGAAGTGCCACTATTGAAGTCCCTGTGCCTGGGTGAGTGTTTGGAGGGACTCTCCTGCCTGAGTCAGTTCAGAACTATAACCTGGAGCACTGTGACACCTCTGAACATATTTCTTAAATTGCATTTTTCCTTGAAATTCCTGGATGTCTGAGGCTCTCTGGAGAGGATGGAAAAAAACTTCAATCTCTGTGATTTTGAGGCCCACTCTAATAGATGCTTCCAGCTTCATTTTTTGTCACTTTTTTTGAGAAGCCCATCTCACTGAAAAGTCAAGTGCCACATGGGATATTCAGGAATATTCAGTGCCTGGAATCCTGAAGGTAATAGGTTTATCAGGAGAGGTTTGGGAGAAGAAGGTATGGTGATTCCCACTTCCCCTTGTGCCCTCTGATCCATTCCAGTTCTCATTAATCCCAGCTGCAGGAGTAAAAACAACCGTGGTGAAAGAGCAGTGTCCCCTTGCAATTAAACCTTTGTGCTGAGATTCTGTTTATTGGTAACTTCCTAATGCAAAAGTGAGGTAAAAACACACCCCATTCATCCCCAAATCCTGTCCCTTAAATAGTCTGCTCTTCCCCTGCACCACTCAAAAGATGTTCCCTTATCTCCAGAGCTGCCTTACACACAAAGTGCTGTTGATTTCTTTCTGATGAATATAAACAAGTCAGAACATAGCTGAGACTCATCATCTCTCTCCTCTCGTACACACAGAGCTCCCTCTCTCTTCCCCCAGGGTCCTGCAGCGGACAGAGGGTCAAATAGCAGTCACAGTGGGGGAGAGGGTTGCAGCAAACAGAAAATAATGAGGAAAACATTGACTTTGCTGTTCAGATAGCCAGGGAGAGTTGGGTAAGAGAGTTCCTTCTCTGGTGAGTGCTGCGAGACAGGACAGTCTTCATCCAGCAAGCGACTGCAAACGTGGATGGAGACACTGAAGACTTTTTTTTTAATAGAAAGGCTCCTCTGGAATGCCTGCTGAGGTCTGCTGGGACCTTCCCACATAAGGGGAGTGTTGGGTAATCTTGAAGCACTGCAAATGTGGACAAGCTTTGTTGAAGCCTAAGGCCTTCTCTGAGGAATTTCCGCCCTTTGACTTATTTTAATTTTGATTTTCCCCGCTCTCTCTCCTGCCTCCTGCTCTCCACTGCACAGTTTTTTTTCCTTCTGTTTTCCTATGTCATCACTGCAGTTCTCTGTGCCACCATCTTGAAGCCAGATGTCACAGGAGAGCCTGGAGTAAATCGAGATCGGGGTATCCATTTCTATATGCTGGAGGAATCCAGGTGAAGCTGCAGGAGCAGATCACAGCAGTTTCATGGGAAATTAGTTTTACTTGCTCCAAACTCTGAAGAAGTAAAAAGAGTCCTCACTATTGCTCTTATACAGGAGATTGCTGCTGGTTTAAAATTTGAATGATAGAGAAACATGGGCTGATTTGAGACATGCTCCCCTGACAAAAAAAGGCCAAATTTAAATGGGAGGATTTTTCTGTTCAAGGTGGCTTCAAGGGCCGCTGTTTTTACAAAGTGATTTTCAGAATTAGCAAGGCAGGGCAGGGAGAGGAAGAATCCCTCATGTCTGATACTTTGTTTTGTGGTTTTTGATGAGGGAAAAAAGCACCCTCATGGTGAAGATGAAAAAGGTTGTTCCAGCCACGTCCCTGCCAATGGCGTGATTGAAGCAGCATGACAAAAAAGAGCAGGCCCTGAAAGTGGGAGCTGTACCCTCCCCACTCACCCATTGTTCTGTTGAGGTTAAAAAGCAATAGAGTCTGTCCCTCAAGTTCTTCTAGAACTGCACAGAAAGTGCCTGGGTAAGTGATTCTGATGTTTGCAAAGAGAAACTTGTTGTACTTTTATGTAATGTGTTAATTAGTGTGGGTGGGTATGATCAGATCTTGTCTTGCAAGCCTTTCCGACAACTCCCTGAACACTCCCACCTTCAGATATTAACAGATAGCACTTGCCAAAGCTCCTAAAAACCCAGTAACAGACTTAATGCAGGCAGAGCATAAGTGGGTGCGTGTATTTCAAAGAGAACACATCTGCTTGCAGCAGACATTAATGTGGCCTAGTGCCTTCCTCGAGCTGAAGTGCAACTGTTGAGAAAAGAATACAGGGTGATCCTTGGATCATCTCTTCTGCTTTTGTTTCTTCACGTGGCTTTAATAAATTTAATTTAGGTGACAGCCACTTTGACAGCACTGGCTCCAAGGTTGGGGTAAAGCAAGATGATGTCAAATGCAGTATTTTGCATTTTTACCAACCAGCAGCCTTGAGAATGAAAATATTCGGCACTGTTTGCAGCTCTCACCTCCCCGGCACTAAGATCCTGGTATGTTTGGAGTCTGAGCAAACCTGTCAGTCACCAGCAGCAGTTGCATTCTCTAGGGAACAGAATCCTCTTTGACCTAATGCTTTTCTGAAGGAGATGTTGAGTAGTGGCAGCCACGGATTCAGGGACTTAGAGAAAGACGAGAGGAAAAACAGAACTTCAGCTGCTCCCTGCAGCTCGCTCTCTTCTATCCCGTGTTTCCTGTGGGAAGATGGTGATTCAGATATTTCATGCCCCCTTTACCACCTCTGTTCTACTGAGGTCACCTCAGCACCTTCCTTCAGTACCTTCAGGAAGCTGAAGCTTCAGCACAAACACCCCAAGGAGTTGGATCAGCAGGTAAGGAGCGGGAGAGCAGACAGGGACAGGTGGAACTCACAGAGCACACCTGATTGTGAGTCCCTGCCCCGTTCCTGCCATCCTTGCTTTCAGCATCACCCCCTCTTTTGTTCCTGTAACAGATCCTGCCCAGAAACACACACTGACCCAGCCTGCCTGGCCTGCACTAAAGGCACAAACCTCTCAATTTGTATCTTCACACCCTCCCAACGAGTCCAAGCTTACTAGTTCTTCATGCTCACCTCTGCATTGTGACATTAGCACAGAAAAAAAAAATTAAGGCAAATCTGTGATGATTTTTTTAATGCATCGTATAATGATTTTTTTCTGCGTAAAACCAGAACAATTCCTCCTTAAGTGAGGGAAGAAGGCACTGTAATTAGAGTTGGAGAGCGACTGAAAAGTATATGAGAATACAAAATAGAAGATAAGATGCAATCTTAGGGGGAGTGTGATGGCCCTAAACAGACAGAGGCAAGATGCCACCTTACCATCCCTGAAGTTATATAATAACAGAGGCGTGTGATTTCCAGCCAAACACAAAGTCTATAAAAGAAGCCTGTTGTTGCTCCTGCTCATTCCAATGGGTCACCATGCCCTAAAAAGCAGTCAATTAATTTTGTAGCTTGCTGGCTTGGAGACTCCAAATATGCTGGTAACTGATGGCTGACTCTTGGTTTTATTTTGAGGGAGGGAAAGCAGCCCAAACATGTGAAAACGAGGGTCAGTTTGACTCCCTACTCACTTTTTCCAGCTGCAAGAGCCATCCATCATGTGTAGGTATTACAAGGACATATGGTTCTCTGGCTTGTGTCAGTAATCATCCTGACCTGGTGCTACTATGTAGATGTGGTTCCATTTCCTATTTTTTTCTTGAGCAAAAGCATTTTTAAAATAGATTTTTTCTTTATGAGTTAGTTGTCTCTGTATTGTACAGGCTGTTCACAGCCAGGCATCCTAGACATGAAGTTTCCCTATCAGTGTTAATCAAATGATAATGAAAGGAATACAGAAGTGAGGAGTTCCTGTTGGATATCTTCCTTCCCCAAGCCCTGTGGAACTAAGGACAGGAACACTGTTGGAAGAGCAATGCCTTAAATCAATCCATCTCACAAGCCTGCTGGCTTCTGTCTGTCTGACTTCCAAAAATTGCCTTCCTTCCTGTCCCTGGGGCATTTGGCACTGAGTTTGGTTTCCTGAGCAGGTCACTGTCACAGTGCACTTGTACAGTAAAGGTTGCACATACAAACTCTGAACAGATTTAAACTTCTGCTCCCACAGGACGCTCCTGAGAAATCCAGATTAAAGAAGGAGGTGAATCAGGTAACCAGTACAAACCCAAGCACTGGGGGAGGGCTCTGCTTGTCCAGGGAGCTCAGGACACAACTCCCACCTCCTGCCTCAGATCTGAGCCCTGACTGGACCCTGGCAGCAGGAGTCCATGAACCTTCCTTAATTCTTCTTAATTCCTTAATTTTTTAGCATCAGAGACACTTTGGGATGTGGCCAGCAGCTGCCCTTAGGCATCACTGTTGATGTGATCAGCGTTCCCAGAGCCTGGCACATGGCAGCAATAACTTCAGCCTAAGATAAGGAGGCAATTCCTTGCTGTCTTCTCCAGGAAAGTCAACTCTTAGTGCTTTATGCAGAGAGGACTGAAGTAAGTGCAGGGTGACAGGGTTCCTGGGGTGTTTTGGCAACGTGAGTACTGCTGTTGTACAGAATAAGAAAAAAGGGCTCATGTCAGAGGAATGTTAACAGAAGATAGAAATGGCAATAATGGGAAACAAGTGATATCCAAACACATAATTCCTGTTCCCAGAGCCTGCTGGGAGCACTGATTCCCTGCAGACATGGCACAGGGAAGTCAGTTCACTCCACAGTCTTACACCTCCTTCAAGTCTGCCTACTACAAGTAGCAGCAGAGGTGACAAGCTCATGATCTCTGCTCTCTCAACTGTTAAATGTAGCAAAACAGGTGCTAAAAAAAATAAAATCCATCCATCAGAGAACAAAACAATTCTTTGGGTCAGTGTCAGCCTTAGAGAATGGAGGAGGCTCTCAGGTACCAGAGAAAGGAGCCACAGCAGCTCCCACCATGAGGTCTTGGGCCTCATCTC